AACCATTGACATATGTTTGTTAGAAGTAAATTTTACGCTCTTTTCAATGAGCATAACAATTTTTTTCTCAGATAATCGTGGCTGGAGGTATGAAGCAAAGTTACTCCTAAAATCAGCAAAAATGCGCCTTTTTTAAGCTAATTTTTGAAGAAAACGTTAATTTCACGACAAAAAAATTAAGCTAGATAAACAAAGGAGGATAATTTCGGTAGGAAATTGTATGTTCTTTCCGCTGGTTGTTTTGTTTTTTTAGTGAGATGAACCGTTGAGGAGATATTTGCAAAAATCTAATCGTGAGTTGTCTCAATTTGGAAAATTTCAAAATTGCGGCGCCCTGAGGACCAGCCAATTTTCCTGAAGTTAATATGGCCATTTTCGGGCTTTTTTATCACCTAGGAATCGAAAAAAATTGGTTTGGTTCGAAGGAAAAACCAAAACCCGAAATTTGTTGTGCTGTGTAATCAATTATTCACGCCACGCCACTGGCCAAGTGCATTAGCGATCATCCCCATAAAAATTATATTTTCGCCCTAATCTTCTTTATTCTCATACGTATGTATAGTCGACTATTGGCCGAGGTGGGGAGTCCGCCATTCACTTCATCAGTGAGGCGTTATCCGTCTCTTGCGTTGCGTGCGGCACGCCGCATTATGTGTCTAAATTGACCTCCGACCATGAGCTTGCTAGTCTTCTCTCAGGATTTTTTTTTCAACGCAACTTTTTTCCTCTCCTCGCTTTTTTCCTCATTAATCCTCCGAAGTCAGCCGCTTAAACGATACGAACCTCGCTGTCTGCGATTTTCAGTCACAGTTTTCAGATGTCTGTGAAAAATAATGTAGTTTCCCCATCGGAGCAATAATGCAAGCGGGTTTTCCTGTGCGACCTGGCAACCTCGTTGGCGTACTTTTCAATGGTGAAGGAAAATACTCATTTTTCCTATTCGAGGAATGTAGCTCAGGCACGTTTTTGCACGCAATCTAGCAATGCTCCCTCACTTGAGTTTTTTATTTTGCCCGCGGGACCCGCAACACTTGAACTCGTATAAGTGAGCCACTCGATCCAGGTAATCTTCACCACTTCTGTTTGAAGTTGTTGACGTTTTTTGTTTTATTTGGAAACATTCCCAGTGTGTGGAAAACCTGCTGCGCAGTTCTCAAGCGTGCTATTGTCGTTAGGGATGCCGCCCATTTTTGAATGGAAATGTTGCTTGAATTTGATGGTGGATAGTAAATAGTTACTATGGTCCCCGCCTATTTTTACCTAAAACATTACCTCAGGAAAAAAAGTGGCACATTTCGAAAGCGCAGGGTCAAAAAGTACGGAAGAGGGACGGCTCTGAAAATGCAATTTTCATTCCTCTCTTATTCCTTTACTACTTCTTCCTTTCTTACTTCTTCTTCCTTCACTTCTTCTTCTTCATCATCCTCCTCCTTTTCTTCACCCTCTTCTCCTTTTCTTACTTCTTCTTCCTCCTCTTCTCCTTCTCTTACTGCTACTGCTACTGCTACTTATACTACTACTTCTTCTTCTTCTTCTTCTTCTTCTTCTTCATCTTCTTCTTCTTCTTCTTCATCTTCCTCTTCCTCTTCATCTTTCTCTCCTTCTTTATCTTCATTCTTTCATTTCTAAGTCTCTCAGGTGAATTTGGTCAAGTGAAAGGTATAAGAATGAAGAGCTTTAAAATATCCGTTTAATAACAGCATCCTCAAAAATCTTCTCTGTGGTTATTAATTTACCATCCCAGAGATGGGGCAAAGGGTTGATCTCCTTAAAGCCTCTTACATGGTCTGGTATGGATAAGAAGTTGGAGTCTGAGTATAGCAACATTCTGAAAAATTTTCGTTGCAATGTGAATCTAGATAATTAAGTTTAGACAAAAGCTTTCGCTGAAAGAACTTTGCCTACTCATTCCGAGGAAAAAAGTCAAGGATAGAGGGAAGGGGAATTATCAAACATTTGAACAGCGCTGATAAAGGCCAGCTGCTACGTCGATTATCTAGCGGTATCATAAGAAATACGTAAACGTGTCTTGTTATGATTCAGGTTTCGCAGCTTTTTCAAAGCGTTTCAATGCTTAATGCTCGTGACTTTAAGTTAACTTAGCCAAGAAACAGAAAAGAAAAAAAAAACCCCAAGAAACAAACAATCAGAAAATGTCTAGTAATTTTCTCGGTTGTCGATTTATAATGACCAAGCCCGGCAATTTTTTTCCAACATAACGTCGTCTTTACGAAAATCGCACTTCCACACATGTACTTTATTTTCGATACTAGTGCTTAACATGTATTGCATTACCCTGTATTTGAATATGTGAATGAATGACAAAACTTTTTTTTGTCGGCTTGTGCAAAGCTGCATTTTTGGTTAGCATGTAGTTACTCAAAATTTCTCTTGAACTGGCTTCAGATTTGATTTTGATGATGACTGTTCTAACAAATTGAACTGTGTAGAAACTGAACGTTGTACATTCAAAATTTTTAAAATGACAACCATCCTAAGTTTTAAACTGGTCCTATTTAATAAACTTGAATTTCAGTTTTATGAAGCCCACCAATATGTGTATTTGTCCAAACACATTAATACTCTTGATGATGGAAAAAAAAGACAAGTCCCGTAGCCAGCTTAATGTAAAAATTAATCAGAGCGAATAAGCAGGAGTGCCCAGCGAGGAAAGTATTCTCGCAATTTTTCTTTTTTTTATTCAAAGGTGGGGTACCGAATTATTAAAAATTACAGCCCTAATGACATAATAATAAAACTCAAGCAGTGTTGAGTGATTCAATTCTACAAATTCGTCTTTGTGTGCAGCTTTTTCCCTCCGCGAATATCATCTGTTATATATGCGTTAAGAACACTAACCGATGATGATCTAACCGATTGACTACTCTTCTAATACCTTTCTCGCTTCTTTTCCCCGCGGCGCAAATTCGCGATGCTACCTTTTTTTCTTATTTGGGATGGCACAGTGGACGGCTATGATTCACAACCGATTGGGTAACCCGAGTGCTGTTCTTTTACTTAGATTATTTTTCCTTTTTAGCGCGGTGCGAATTCGTAATGAGAGCCTCCATTAATTGTGCACGCATAAAAAATCGGGTGTAATTGAATAATTATTCAGGATCGGAGGAGCTAAAATTGGCTCCTCGCCGCTGACACCGCTCGCGCGCGCGCGCCGCACCCAAACGTGAGGCCGCGAAAACTCCGAAAAACGCAGCGCGAAACAGCGCGCCACGCTCCGCGTCGCTCGATAGGTTGGCGCGAAAAGTTCGTGGATTCTGATATAGGGAAAAATTTAAGCGCTGAATGCAGAAATGGTATTCATTGGTTGTGGTGTCTCAAAATCTTCGCTAACTTTTCGTCCATTATGATTGTGGCAAATGTATGTCATTCATTGCAGCTTTTACTGAATATCACTGGAAAAAAATTATCGGCGTTTTTACCAAGGTCCGTTGGTATCTTTACCATCTCACTGTTTTTTGATAATTTTACCAAGACAGACTGGTAAGCTTACCTAAATACCGGTATTTTTACTGTTTTTTTTTCAGATAAGAATACCACTTTTATTGGTAATCAATTCCCGGTAACTTTGCCATTTTATCTCGGTAATTCTACCACAGTCGATAAAAAATATTGGCGTTCTTACCAAGGTTCAGTAAAATTACCGAGAAAGTTCAATAATTCTACCGAGATTTCTCGGTAAAATTATCAATTCCATGAATGGTAATTTTACCAAGAAAAAACTGTGATCAAATAGAACCCTGAATTCCTGGTAATTTTACTCTTTACTTAGTAAATACACTGAGATTTTTTTTCAGTGCAATATTATTAAAGTTTCTCCGGCCACGTTCTTTTAGCAGTATGTGTGTGTATGAGAGTTTTGATAACTGAACAAAACCCAAGATTGTAAGTCCCTATTTCAAGGCACCAAGTATTAATCAAACCAACGCCAATTACGTCTCACTATAAATAAATATCACTTGTCTGCACGGGGAGATTAAGTTTTCAGCCTTTATAGCACTCCCCTCTCTGCAACCCTCCGAACCCTTAGTAAAGAAACGCACACTGCCTTCAGAAAAGCCTTACCGAACATGCACAACTTTTAAACTAGGATCGGCAACATTTTTTTCCGTTTTCCCTGTCGGCCTTTGCCGACAGCTTAACAGACCGCGAGTCTAGCCGTAGCCAACTACAGGGTTGCCAGCGGTCCGGAAAATCGGGAAAATCAATTAATATATTCTTAATAAATAAATTATTTAAAAAAAGAAAAAAAAGAGAGAGAAAAAAAGGTGGACATTTTCCTGGAAGGCCGAGGAAATTTAGGAAATTAGAAAAGTTGGAGTCCTCACTCTGGAGTATGAAATAAAGTAAGTTATCTAAGGGATGACAGCGCAAAATTTTTGAGAAGCTCTTATTCACGAGATAAATTGCGACCTCGATGTTTGATTAAGAATAACTTATGAAGAAAAATTTTTAAGGATTGGTTTGTTCGCCCAAATAACTCTTACATGATATGAGTTCAGACCGGCGTAAGCCAGGTATTAGTTTATATCTTTGATTATATAATTCTGCACTACAGTACGAAAGGATCTAGAGAAGTAAATTTTTGATGTGGAAATTTTTGTGGACATTTTTTATGGGAAAAGCGAAAGAGAATCAGGGAATTTGAAGGTAAAGAAATTATGGCAACCCTGTCAACTGGTTACTAAGTACAAAATCACACCGGGTTAACTTTCGCTGCAACGAGGATAGCCGGTGATCAAGAAAGGAATCCCGCGTCGACTCGGAGCTCGGCCAGGAGGAAAAGAGCGTTAACGGTGACTCGCAGGCTGGCAGTTAACGCGCGCGTTGCTTCCCACTTAGCGGGCAGCGCGGCGCGGGTGACGGCGCGCAAGGTGAGCCACTGGCGGCACCGCTCCACCCCCCTGACGTAAGCGCGGCAGACGCCACTGTGCCCTATCTCTAGCGTGACTCCCATTTCCACGATTTTCTTCGGGACCCCGTCGCGAGCGCTCGTTCAGTCCGAGTTTCACTTTGGCGCGCGCAACGTCGTCGTCGCCGCTTCCGTCGCCAGTGTGAACGCGCCCCCAGTGCCAGCACCCCCGGGTCGCTTCAGTTCCAATCAGTTCGATCCCGTGACTTGTGTGCCCCTCTGTGTATCCGAGTTCTTGTGGTGTAGTGCTTCGTCGGTCGGGGGTGTGTTGTTTCCTTGGTTGGGGTGAGGATCATGAAAGTGAAGGAGTTGAACGGGGGGGAGGGGGACGAGGGGGCTCGGATCCCGATGATCGACGAGGACGAGGAGAGTCCTAATGCGAACTTGATTTCTTCTGCCGACAGGAAGGGCTCCGCGGTGAAGATCACCATCTCGCCATGCCAGCCCAAGACCCTGAGCAACCTCCCCAAGAGGCCGCCTGTGGACATCGCCTTCAGCGACCTCACCTACACCGTGAACGAGGGACGCAAAAAGAGTGAGTAGATTTTCATGTTTGCTTTTAAGGTCTCGATACACGATCGAATTCCGAACCAATTCCGATCAAAAAGACCAGTTGATGACTAATGATCACCATGCATTAGCCTTCTTTGATCAAAATTGGACGGGCCGTCAAATTTTGATCAGAATGGAGTGCCTTCTCTGATCAAAATTGGACGGGCCGTCAAATTTTGATCTGCGGGCCGATTATTGAAATTGATAGACAAAGCTATAGACAATGAAGACAAAAATGATATGGTGGGGTCCTACTGGTGGAAGCAGGTGGTTGCAATGGACCAAGGAGGTAAGTAATAGACTAACTAACGACAACCGACAAGAGACCCGACAGATAGTCCACCATTTCCCCCCTTAGTCTATAGGAACCACCCGTTTCAACCAATAGGATCGCTCCATACTCCTTATGTCTTCTTCGTCTATAGCTTTGTCCATAAATTTCAATAATCAGTTCGCAGAATGAAGTGCCTTCTCTGATCAAAATTGGACGGGCCGTCAAGTTTTGATTAGAATGGAGTGCCACCATTCATAATTACTTGCCGCATGAAACATTTCTGTCAAGTTTTCATTTGAAAACTAAGCGAAGTAACGATTTTAGGACTGATGAATCTCAACGTTTTGATTGTAATTGGTTTGGGAATTTGATCGTGTATCGAAACCTATATGCATGCTCTCAAATTTTGATGCCTTTTCAGAGCTGAATATTGGGTGACGAAGTCCTGAAGTCAGGAAAACCAGAGGTCGGGTCTGTGATGGAATCAGACGAGAGAACCCTTAAGGGTAACAATAAAACATGTGATAACAACTAAAACTGCCGTGCCAAGAAAGAACGGCGTATGATCCTTTAGGCGTTGCCAAATTTCCTCCGATAAAATGCTGAGATAAAATTTCAAGGAAACTGTTCGATTTTTGATTTCAAAATTTTCAGACAATTTTGTACTCAATTTAATTTAATACATCTAAAAATTTCAAGGGAAAATATGCATAACTTATCTCAAAAATACATGTATTATCCGGGGAAATATGTCAACTAGTGAATGTTCTTACGGCGGTTTCCGTAGCACGGCAGTATACCACAGGTTAAGTTAATCTTGCAACATTTGGCTCAAAGAATACCCTTAAATTCCATGTATGGATCCTTTGGGGTCAATTCTAAATTTGAAGGCAATGAAACGAAAAATTAAAAAAAAATTTGCAGTTTAAGCTTATCGGCACTGTCATCAGCTCTAAAAGTTTATAATTTCCAAAAGCTTATATCATCATCGATCATGAAAATTATGACTTGACGTTTTGACTTTTTGAGGCGATTTGAGTTTTAACTCAAGGGTTCTTTTGCCAGAATTTGTTATGCATCACCATTTTAACTCGACCTTGAAAAATCGAGAAAAATGCAAGAAATTCTACTATTTAACATTGAACTTCTACCCGCGGATAACGGGAGCACAGCACATGTTCTTTAAGACAAATAACCGAAATGAACACACGCGCTCGAAATTTTGAACAGTGCCCACGAGACCACGAGAGCAAGGAAATCACAGCTTCAGTGTCGGCCAACCTCCGAAAGACCCCTTCTCCAATGAATTTTCCTTAAAAAATGCGATTGAAAAAGAGATAACAGCCACTGCAACAGGCCGACACGGGTTGATTGGACTAAATTTTGCAATTTGAAACTACAATCTCTGGTTAAGTTCAGAACAGTGGCGAGGCGTGAATGATCGATTATCGATATTTCCCCATTTGAAGCTACGGTAAAGAATCGAGTATCAAGGTGTTCGCTGCGAACACCCTACGTATCGATCCTTTTTCATAGGTTTAAATGGCAGATCAAGCGATGTATCGCAAAGCATGCCACGCCACTGGTTCAGAAACAACGAATGATCCATCAGTTTCTGGAGGTACGTAAGTGATTTAACGGATTAGCCAGAAATGTTAGTTCCTAACTGCAAAATACTGTCCAATACTTCACCGATTGTGAACTTTTTTTGCAACAAGTACGCGTAAGTTTCGCAATGCTGTCAAGATTGTGCAATTTGAAACAGCTGAGCGATTTGAGAGCCTGATCAGAATTTGCCCCCCGAAAATCTTCTGTATTTTTTACTCATTTCTCTGGCAAAATAATGAGGCCATGTGTTTGATTCGTTTGTAACAAATTATGTTCAAAGTTGCCTTATTTTAGCAGCATTGCAAATCATACACATGCTTGTTGCAAATCATACCTCCATTATGTAGGATATAGCTTCTTTAGACTACATCTTAGGTACGGAAAGTTCTGAAAACCCCGATAACAGCCGATTCCCCCCCCCCCCCCCNAGGGATTTTCCAAATTCACCCATTTTTGGAATACCAATGAGGGATTCTCCAGCTAACTGATTCATCCGTCTCGTGACAGTTTGGAGAGCATACTCCTAGAATAATTAGAAGTTGGGTCGTAACTTCAAGTAATTTTTTTATCGATTTCTGCTCTTGCACTGTTCGGCTTATTATAGCGTCTACAATACAAGCAAATGTGAAAATAAAACTTCTCCATTGAATTGAACGTTTGAATAATTCGTTTTGAGGTTAATGTCATCGACACTCATGGCCTCAGAAAGTTTACCGCGATTAATACACATCAAGAATTGAAGTTGACTCACTGGAAAAAAAATAACACAATGGATCTACAGTCCAGACTCTTAAAAACATCGACAAGAAAAAGTACTCTTGATTTAATCAGAATGTAGCTTAAATCAAGAACCAAGCCTCTTAATTTAAGCGGATTTCGTTTTGATTCAAGTGAAAATCCGATTGAATCGAGAGTATTTTTTCTTGTCAATGTTTTCAAGAGTCTGGACTCTAGATCCAATGTGTTTTTTTTCCCCCAGTGACTGAAGAATATACGCAGAAACACTCTCCGTTATCCGTCCGCCCCAAAATTTTAGAAGGCGAAAGAAAGGGAAAACATTGGTAAGGATCATGAGCAGAAGAAGACCTATTAATACCAGTTTGTTTTTGGAATTTAGGAGAGATGAACGCGAGGATAAAGAATTCTTATGAGTGCATTGACTGTTGTGTTTTGGGCACCTAAAAGCGATTGGATCGGCCACAGTTGATGAAAAAAGGTGCATGGCCCGGCCTGAGCTATAACTGAGCCCAGCGCGCACAATTTAAAGCGTATGCTAATGACTAAACAGGAGTTTTTATCTCGTACATCCTTAATTTGCATAAGAAGGACCATCGATCGCTCTGTGGTTATAAAAACGGTTAGCGATGAAGCAGGAATATGAATACTAGGAGTCGATTAAATAATATTACTACGCTACGCAGGATTTCTAGAAACTTCTCAGTAATTTGCAGTGATCAAATAATGAGACTTTACAGTTTACACCATTGAAATCGTTTTATTTATCCCAGACTGCGACAGATGGAGCATGAGATTACCCATTGAACCATATTCTTATCCCTTTTGCTCCATTTTAACCATACAATTAGTCAATTTCAAACGCCGCACAGTGCAGTGTCCCATGGACAAAAATCGAAAATTCGACTTTGTCGGATAATATAAATGACCGCTGGATTGAAGAAATGGATGGATGGGAAGAAAAAATTCGTAGTTTTTTGACACGAAAACGCTACTGAAGGGGAGGTAGGGGGAGGGGAAATCACGGAACCTGCGCGGATGCACAATTAGCAGAGATCCAGCAGCGGGCATCATGTGTTGTGACGGGTGATAACTGAAATTACTCTACTCAGAACGGAACAAGGTAGAATATTTAGGTATAAGGTATGTTTGTCGATACAAAAACTATGTTGATCATTTTAAATTCTTAAATTAAGGGCCTCTCAGTCCGGTTTTCCGTTGATGATGCCAAAAATTCGATTTATTCTATATACCCAACTTCAAATGTAGATTAAAAAAATATATCAAAATATATCAACGCAATTTTTTGATATGTTGTTCAGAATACCTTCCAGATTCAGAATATGTTTAGTTTTTAGCCCTAAAGACCCCTAAATCGACGGAATCGTCATTTTTGTGACCTCAAGTCAAGGCTTAGGAGCGCACTGAGCGGCATATTGGCTTGTTTTTATAACAGCCATACGTGAAACCAAAGAGAGCCAGTGTGCATGCATGAGTTCAGCCGTGTATTTTGATAAGTTGTTATAGTATGATGTTTCAAATCCATAATCTATTTGATTTCTACTCAATTGGACCTCAAATTTAACGACAATTATGGTGTCCGTCCGTTCATGTCAGAAATCAACTACGTGATCGATAAATGAGATGTGATGATATCTTTAAACAGAGATTAAAAAAATATATCAAAATATATCAACGCAATTTTTTGATATCTTGTTCAGAATACCTTCTAGATTCAGAATATGTTTAGTTTTTAGCCCCAAAGTCCCCCAAATCGACGGAATCGTCATTTTTGTGACCTCAAGTCAGGGCTCAGGCGCGCACTGAGCGGCATATTGGCTTATGATCATGTCTTTAAACATAGATTTAAAAAATATATCAAAATATATCAACGCAATTTTTTGATATGTTGTTCAGAATACCTTTCAGATTCAGAATATGTTAAGTTTTAAGCCACAAACTGCCCCAAATCGACGGAATCGTCGGTTTTGTGATCTCAAGTCGGGAATTGGGTATACCCGTTGAACTGCATATTCGCCCCTGTTTAAGGCGAACTTTATGACTCCTTTCCGATAAAGAAAAAAAAAAGTTACATACACATGTGGTTATTAGACATTATGTTCATTCTATACATACTCTAATACATACCCCCCCCCCTCGCCCCGAAAATTCTATCCGTCTTTCCGCATCGTCCTCTAGTTTTTCGGAATAGCCGATTTTCGCTCTGATAATCACAGTTTTTTACCACTTTTTGTTTTTGCGACTTTTTTTCTCACAAAAGAATTTTAAAAAAAAATTACAATACGTGTTAAAAAGGTTTAATCTGGGTAAACGTAACAGGGCCTGTTGTTAACCAGTAATTTCAG